AACTTTCGGAATAATCCTAAAGGCACTAACACATTTTATCTAAGATAGATTAATCTCCTCCCCCTCCCCCCTCTCCCAACATGCATATCTATTTCTAGTTCCTCTTAATTACTCTTCGTACATTTATCTATTTCTTGTCCCCCTTAATTACTCTTTTTATAAGACTCTTATATCAAACAAACTCTTATTTCCTTCTCGTATTAGTGTATTCACAACTAGTATTGGTGGAATCAGGGTAACTACAACTGCAGCCTGCCGTCTGTGGCCCTAATCTACCAAATGAGGCTGGTTTGAATTGGGTTGCCCATTTAAAATTGTTTGAGACAGTCCAGATTAGAGCCCATCTCATTTGCCAAATCGGGCCGTGTACTGATCTCTAATAGTGAATCGAAGAAAACAAACGGAGTTAGGTAAACATCTTTATAGTGGAGTGTAATAACATTTGTGTTTGTCAATGATTAATTGGGTGAGCTAGGATTTTTGTGTTTTCCAGATGTTTATTTAAAATTTTAATATAGCTTACTCTATTTTGTTTTAAGAAAATATTTATATTTTTCCAAAAAAATTTCCTCCCTCCTCCTCCCCCAACAGTAGCAATCTCTGCCACCTACCATCAATGCTCACCTCCGATACTGGTACCCTATTTAATGTTTTTTTTTTTTGATGTTTTTCTAAAATTTGAGGTTTTTTAATTTAGAGTAAAGTGTAGATGTTTTTTTTTTCTTTTTTGTCAAAAGTAAAGTGTAGATGTTGCATTGAACAAATTCTGCACTTCTAAAACAGGCCTGTGAAACAGATTCAATAGTAGTTGTCTAACTGCCCAACCCATCATCAACAGTGGAAAAAATGGACCACTGAGGTGATGGGCTTCTTTCCATTCATGATTCAGCCACTTCTTGTAAACACACAGGTCCAGGCCATTGGGCCCAATACCTACTCACAATCTATAACCTATTCTAGCGTTTTGAAACCCCGAACAGCTCAGCGACACGTAACATAGTCGAATTGTCATAGATTAAAGACCTGATTCAAGGTATTCCAACAGATGTCATTGCTTAGATGGCAGCCATGTGTTTAGATTTCATCATTGGAGGTTGATAATTATTTTATATTTGGATATTATGATTATGTAAACTGTAAAGCATTTGATTTTAAGACTTAAAATCATGATAGATAACAGGTTTATATTCTCTTCTTTATTACTTGTCATATAGTAAGTAAAAAATGCTATATATTTATGAGTAATTTATTTATTTGATATCTTTTAGGAGATACAAAATGGTATATGAATTTTAAATTCATTAATTTAGTAAATTTATGAACTTTTGGTGAGATCTTACGATCCGATTCTATGAAACTAAAATCGATCCTACGTAGGATCCCGATTTTACAAACCTTGCTCACAATCTATAACCTATTCTAGCATTTTGAAATCTTTTTTCCAGCCAAAAGTTTCATCCAAGTTTTTTTTTCCATTGGTTTTTTTTTTTTTGGTAACCTTCATCCCAGTTGGTCATTATTTACAAATTAGAGTCCTTTTTTTAATCAAGATGGTACAAGTCAGAAAGAACGGATTGAATGGCGACTGAAGAGAAAGAAGACAGCATGAATTTGTCATTCCGTCAAGATTTAGATAATTCTACTTCGTTAGAAATTGATCAATCCACAGAAAGTTTGTCATCCCAAAAGAATTCTGAAGTTCGAGTTAGTTTTATGGGAGAAAGTAAGAAACTTCTCACCTCTTTTTGGGGCAAAATAACCAGATTGGAAAGGGTCCTTCACGAAAAATGCATCCAATTTTTCCAAAGAAAATTGAATGAACAAGAGTTTAAGGTTTTTGGCCTGGAAATAATGTAATTCATCATTTGATCTCACTTTACATTCAAATATCATTGAAATGGGTTTTGGAAAATTATTGTAAAACAAAGAAAGAAATTGAGGATTTGATGGTTGTCATTTTATTCCAAATGCAGGTATTCTTGTTCAGAGGGAGACTAATATGTGGTCCGGATCCAAAAGGGCTGATTCCAACTGTCAGTTCCATTGGTCTATCAAGTTGGACATTTGCTCTTCATGTTGCAAGTGAACCCGGCCATCACCATAGCATCTTCAATTCTGGCAACAATTGTTAGTTCTGAAATTAAATGCGCGCGCGCAGACACACTGACACGTATATGTTTGTGAAAGTTATGCACGTAATTGGATGCCCTTTTGCTAACGAAACCACATAAATATTGACCTTAATAATGCAGGTTCTTATCAAGTTGGGACTTGTCAGTACAATTGATGCTGGAATTATTCCTAGAAATAATCAATATTCACGTGATCTAGGAACAATTGAAGATGGCAAAAGGAGAAGGAGATAAAGGGTTGTTGTCATAAATGGGAGAGAGGTGAAGTTAAAGTATTGTAAGATTTGTAACATTTATGCTCACCAAGAAGTTGTCCTTGTGCAACTGGTAACGACTACATCCAACAATTCGATCACTGCCCCAGGATTGGTCATTGCTTAGGGCTGGTATATATGATCACAACTTTGCAATTCCATCTGGCATTAAAATGAATTTACGAACTATTTTTCTTTTGATTTTTTCTTCAATGCAGATAAATTATCGTTCTGTTATGTTTCTATTTACAGGATTGCTTTTATTTACCTTCACATTTATCTTCTCATGTAAAACATTACATCACATTGTTAGGAGATGGAGATGGGGTGATTGGATTGTTAAGAGATTACCCAGAGACACTGGCATTGACATTAGTTTTGCAGCCATGTCTTTTTTTGCTGGCCTGTCTTGTCATCATGTTTATCTAATTGCTACAAACCAGGTTTGACCTTCATACTTCCATTCTGCAGTTATATCATGGAGGTTGATCTCAAATTTGCATTGGTACAATTTTTTCTTGCATGGTTATTGAAGAAAATTAAATCAAGCTATTTTAGTATTTAGTTTCCTAATTTTTTTAGTTTCTTGTTTTGGTGTTCTCTTTGTTTAGTTTCCGTATTAGTTTAGGAAATTTCAAATCAATTTTCAAATAAGTTTCAGTATATAATTGTGTTTGTTTAGGATGTTTAGCAGTCTACAAATACTACTAGTCTAATAAATTGTTATTTGAAGAGTGGAGCTGAATCAAGTCGTAAGATAGAGGGAAAGCTTCTAAGAGTTGTGAGTCATGGCAAGTGAAAGGTTACAACTTGATATTGTTATTGTTGAATTTTAAGTTAATAAAATTATAGAGTATTTAGTTGTTTGTTTATTATCCTCCTCTTTCCAAATATTTTTATATGTTTCAAGCTTCCACTGTGCTCGTGTATTTTTGTGCCAATCAGTAGTATCAAAGCTCTGAATTTTGATCCTGGAGGCTTATTTGTGAAGTTGAAGTACGGATTCCTATCATTTACCAAGTTGTGACATTTTTAACTTTGATAGTAAAAACGATTTTGATGTTTGGAGTTGGATGATGAAGACATTTTTCAAGCTATTGGCCATTGGAATATTGTCCAAAGGGGTTCACGGAACCTGCACAAGGTGCGAAATTATCGAGTAGTGCAGTTAAAGAATTGGACAGTTAAATCGTACCTCATTTCATTATCTCTGTAACAAAGTCCAGTTGCATGTAACTAAAAAATTCATACATGCACAAACGGCAAAGGAGGTTTGGAAATTTTTGATGAATTTTTATGGTCATGATGGAGAAGAAATTTGTGATGATAAAAAAGAAAAAGAATTTTTTGATGAGGCAAAGAAAAAAAATTGCAGAAATTGTGGATGCACTTAAAGATGAAGAATTTATGGCTGAAAAAGAAATTTCACATGTGATTGTGAAAAAAAAAAAGTGAAGTCGTTGGTGATTTGGAAGCTGTGATTGAAGATTGTGATGAGATAGAAAATCTTGATGAATTATTTGAAGGACAAAAAAAATCAAATAGTTGAATTGGTTGATATCAATTATGGAGTGGACGATTTAGTTAAAAATAGTGGTAGTGATAAAATTGATGCGATTGTTAATGTGAATCAATCAACAAAAAAGTAAGGTGATGTTGAAAATATTAGCAGTGGCAACTATATTTTTTTTGTTTTGCAAGATTTTCTTGATGATATTGATGAATTGAGTTATGAAATATTTGGTAGAGCATGGGTGAATATGTTTGAATTTTTTGACAAAAATGATCAAGTTAAGAAACTGTTTGAAAAATACAAGTTTCATCCACTACTACGTGTGAAGATGAAGTTGAAACCCAATCATAAGTTGGGTTGAATGTTGTATTTAGGCGAAATTCTTCATGGAGAATCAAGTTCGAGATGGTATTGGAAATAACCATAATGAAGATTTAGTTTAAAGGAGATAATGAAGGAAATTAAACCAATCTATTTTAGTATTTAGTTTTCTAATTCTTTTAGTTTCTTGTCTTTGCGTCCTATTTGTTTAGTTTCCATATTAGTTTAGGAAATCTCAAGTCAATTTCCAAATAAGTTTCGACTTACAATTGTATTTGTTTCGAAAGTTTAACCGTCTGTAAATATTAATAGGCTAGTATATTGTTATTTGAAAAGTTGAGTCAAGTCAAGTTGTGAGATTTTGAGTTCATAAAATTTTTGAGTATTTGATTGTTTATTTATTCTCCTCCTCTTCGCATATATTTTTATATGTATCAAAATTGTTTCCATTATACTCATGTGTTTTTTGCCAATAGTTATAGTTCATGTGTCGGGATTTCTCTTGATGTAGGGTGACAGGTTTTAAACTCCCTACCTGCATTTTTATAGGATTTTCCTTGAGAAAAATCCAATAGGTGCAATGGTCACTTGTTAAGGGTTCTCCTACTCTAGTTCTCCACAATCCAATTGGTCCTCCTGCGCATAGTGTAGGAATAGGTTGTACATTTGCTATTGTGTTGAGAATGGATTAATATTGACTGTATATATATATCAGAGGATCTAAATATATGTAATATTATTTCAATTTGAATTTCAACTCTAAATTTTGTACATATAACATGCATCAAAATTCTCTCTAATGTATAATACTATCAATTTATGAAGAGTGAATGGCCCAAAAGGTCACTAAACTATTGAAAATGGCACCGTTTGGCCATCAAACTTTTTTTGTGGCTTAAAAGGTCACTAAACTCACAAAAACGCACTAGCGGAGTCATTTTACCGATTTTTAGCGGTTTCTCATCCGGTGGCACTGGCAATGTGGAGTGGAGGAATATTTTTTAAGGGGCAAAAATGTCCAATAAAATATGACAGACCTGTTTTGTCCCCGCAAGCCGTGCCCTTAGATCTAAAACTTCATTGAGTCTCTCTTTCATCTATTCAGAGAGAAATCTTCTTTCTTAAAAAATGAACACAAAAAGTAAAATTAGTAGAGTTCATACCGAGTCCCAGCGGTTAAATCATCTGCCCCTTGTGCAGTCTTCATTTTTCTTTGCTCATACAAAAAAGTTTTAGTGATCAAATTACAAAACAAGTAAACAAATTGAACTGAATCATTGGCACGCACCAGATAAGTAATCTTCTTATAAGTTTCCCACGGCATACTCGAATCAACATGCCCCACAATCGGAACTTGCAACCATTCAGCCTCCAAAATAACCGAAGACTTCCTCTCCGTATCGAAAATCACCACACAATCAGGAGCGTGAATGGCTCCCAAGTTCAACTTCTTATTCCGGCCGCGAAACTTTTTGGGACTCGAACTGTTTGTTAAAAAGCCCTCAAGACGCCACGACTTGTCATTCTTAATCCCAATGGCTTTCGTCATTTCCTCGATGATTTCGTCGAAAAGGGTGTTGGTGTTGACGAAAAGAAACTGCCCTTTTAACCTGACGAGGTTGCCGACGAAATTGCAGGCGTTGCGGAGGCAAATAAGAGTCTTGTCGGAGTCTATTATAGTCATGGCATTCTGAGAGCCACAAGAGTAGATTTTGAAGTGGTGAGCCGCAAGAGTGGGGAAGATGAAAGAAGATTTGTCTAATAGACGAAAGAAGGGCTCAATGAAGTTTTAGATCTAAGGGCACGGCTTGCGGGGACAAAACAGGTCTGTCATATTTTATTGGACATTTTTGCCCCTTAAAAAATATTCCTCCACTCCACATTGCCAGTGCCACCGGATGAGAAACTGCTAAAAATCAGTAAAATGACCTCGCTAGTGCGTTTTTGTGAGTTTAGTGACTTTTTGGACCACAAAAAAAGTTTGATGACGAAAGGGTGCCATTTTCAATAGTTTAGTGACCTTTTGGGCCATTCACTCATTTATGAAAGATGGAAAATTCTATATTAAAAGACATATATTTTAAGCAATAGAAACAAACTAAAGAATGACCCATTTCTTTGATTAAAAGATTTCCATATTTATATCTATCACTTAAGAATATGGTGATTTAGAGTTGCATTTTATACGTGGACTCATGAAAGATTTATCCTCATGAAAATACCTATTCTTGGTACAAATATTTAGTTTGCACTTTGAGGAAATTTCTACGTAGGCATGTAAACACAGAAGGTGATTTAAATTAATAAAATTATGATGTAAACCTTGTATGTTGTCTATCCAGGCATCTTGTGAGCATCTTCACAAAAGTATGTGAGGTCTTTTTTTTTTTTTTTTTTTTTTTTAAAGGTTGTGAGGTCTGGAAACGCCTGACAAAGGAATCCTAAACAACACCCTCTAGAGTCGACTTTGGAGCAGATACAGAGCCAGGATTGTTTGGTGGATTAAGTGATATCAACATCAAATGATTTTATTTTATATTTAATACATTTGGTAGATGATTTATTTGTTTCCTCCAATTCAGTAGTCCCATTTTAAATCAGGTACCATGTTTTGGTAGCTAAATTTTTGTCTTAGGGTACGTTCGATAAAACTAAAATCTGAAAACTGACTTCTAAAATCTGAAACCTGAATTCCGTTGAATTACTGAATTGTTAAGTACTAATTTGATACATTTGAGTATATATTATATTAAGTGATAAGTGAATAGCTTATCACTAATTTTTGAAGCAAAGTATGTTTAGGAAATTCAGTGCCAATTAATTCATTCAAATGTTTTATTTTTTGTTATCAAATGCATCTAAATATATTAAAACCTGAACCCATTATTTTTTTTGTCAAAATATATGAACTCATTAAGTTTAAGGATTAAATTGGATTGTGAAACAAAGCCTTAGATTGATTACAAACTACAGAGCGATAGCTAGATTATCAACCTTTTTAATTAGTGACTACATAATCGAGAAATTTCTAAAATTGTGCTGATTTTTAAAAAATTTCTACAAAGGGGGTAATTTGTGTACTGGATTCTGTTTTTGGGGTCTTCGCATTCATCAAATGCGAGTTCCTTGAGCTCGCATTTGATGAATGCGAACTCTCCTTAATCTTTATACCACCGAATTTAAAAAAAAAATCAAAAAAAATAGATGACCTCGCATTTCAGAAATGCGAGTTATGTGTACCTCGCATTTCTGAAATGCGAGGTCATCTACCTCGCATTTCCATAATGCCATTTTCTGTTGCTTTATGAATTCATTGCAAATTGTAAAATGCAAATTTCTACAAATTTTACTACTTAAGGCTCTAAATTCATCACAACTGGAAAAAAAAAATCCCATAATATTGACATCAATAGTTGATAATAATTTGGGGGAATAAATCTTAACCAATCTAGCAAGCTTTTTGGTTGGACTTTATCTTGCATCCGATAAATGGAGGGTCCTAGAAAATTGCATTAAAAAATTCTAATAATTTTCAAATTACTTTTTAAATTTTTTTATTTGTTAAAAGCATTCTTAATAATTTACCATAAACTCTTTGTTGTTAAAAAATATATGTAGCTGATGTTGTAAAGTGTATTAAACTAGTACGTCAACAATTTTTGCAAAGTGTATTAATCTAGTTATTCAATAATTTAAGTATCTATAAACTAATTGAGAATTCGTAGTTACTCAACTACTTATATTAAAAGTAACATATTATCTACCACATAAAAAAGAAAAGTTAGCAATTATTATTTATAGTGAAATAAAAAATAAGAATGAACAAGAATAGTATTTTATTTTTTTGTTATTGATACTACTAATAATTGATTAATCAATTTCTCTAATTGGCTATTATTTAGTGGAAAAGTAAAATTTCTTAAATGACATTTATAATACATTTATAAATAGTTGTAAATAAATGTATTTATGTATTGATAAAAAAATCTGTAAATGTATAAATGTATTATATTATATATAATACGTAATATAAATATATTTATAAATGTATAATTAATAAAAATGTATAAATTATAAATGAATATTATATAAATCTATAAATTATAATTTATAAATATATATGTTAATATTATGTATAAATGTATAATTAATATTATTTGTAATTTATAATTTTTATTGTTTAAATATTTATATACATTTATGCATTTATAGCATAAAAACTTAACTAATGAGAGGGATGTATTCATACTCCATTTTATTTTAATAGTGAAAATGCCTTTTTACGCGAAAATCGACACTTTTAAGTGAAGAATCCCGGTTACTCAACATTTCACTTATTCAAATTGCTAAGCATACTCTTAATTCTGATACCTTTTTACACGAATGTCGATATTTGTAGATGCCAACCCCCGGTTACTCGGTATGTGAATCATTGGAGTAGAAGATTAATATGCATATTTTTTCTCTCTCTCTCTCTTTTTTTTTTTGAAATGATTTCTTTTCCCTCTAACATCATTAAAGGAAGAATTTGGCCTTGTTTTGACTATATCAATCACTTACTTATAAAATTAAGTCAAAATGAGAAATATCATTAACCTTGCAAATTTGTAAGCATAATTTTTCTTATTTAACCGAATATACTTTCTAAGCATAATAATTATTTCCAAACATAATAAGGACTAAACCTGATCACAGTACATGTAGCATTCTATCCAATGGAAGAGTTTGAGCACTTAAAATGTGAACATTTTGGCCATTAATATTGGAAAAAAATTTTAGAAAAATTTTGACAGAGTTCCCCATAAAAATGGACAAAACTCCTTGCCAACAACCTCAAGACAATATTTCCAAATAAAAGTTTAAGCCATAGACAATCAAATTCATGCATTTCAAGACACAATCAGAACACAATAAAGTAATCCCTCCCCCACACTTAAAATCTACAATGTCCTCATTGTAGATGAAGGTACAAGAAAACAAAACTTCCCACTTGGTAAGTGGTGATGCAGTTTCAAGCCCTTAATCCTCACGACCATCCAAATTCTGTCATGCTTGAAACATCAAGGGTACTAAACAGTGTAAGTAGTACAAGAAAATCCAATAAGAAAACAACAAAGTTTGAACCGAACATCATAAAAGAAAAATAAAGCAATAAAAGATGGAATCCTCGAAAGGTCTTCATGACTGCGCAGAACGAGGGTCCACTGCCTCCTCAGCTCCCTGAGATGTACCAGTAGGCCCCTCCTCTTGATGAGGGGTAGGAGTAGGTGAGCGGTGAATGTGGAAATGATCTTCCATCGCTCGAAGACGACGGTCCTGCCTGTCTAGTCGCTCAGTCATCATCCGCTCGGTCTGGTCAATGCGCTCCATGACACGTGTCTCCATGCAGCAGATGGCATTGAGGATGTCTTGCAACTTGGATCGCGGCGGAGGCTGTGGCCGTGGAGTGGGAGGAGGAAGGGTCTGCTGTGCCTCCGTCTGTTGAGCTTGCTCTTGTGGTTCAGTGTGAGGTGGAGGCTGAGTGGAGGTCGAAGCTTCTCCTGTGTGCCGAACTAGAGCAGCTCCAAAATCCGTAGGAATGCCTAAAACCTTGAGTATAGAGGCATTGACCTCTTCAGCAGACCGAGTCACCACTGCTCGTTCGGTTCCAAGAGGAACCTTGAACTTCTCAAAAATAAGGGAGAGGAGACGAGGGAACCCGAAACATGTATCACCGGCCCTCATGCGAGCTGTAGTCCTCATGTAACTGATAATGATGCTGGGCAGAGGAATTCCAGTCATATGATTACCTATACCATGCATCATTTTGTCGAGGAAGTATAGGTCACTGTTGCGGAGCTCCCGTTTTCCACTTTTTTTGGGTACCACATTGAAGGCAAAAAGATAAAAAATCAGGTGGTACCTATGCTCGAAGGAATCGGCATATACGGTGAGCTTTTTCGAACTTCCTCGCTCACGGTATTGACCCTTAAGACGTGCCACAGCTTCTCCCACTTGCCATGGGTCACGTGCCTTGAACTCCTTAGTCAATTTGATATCTTCTCCAGAGTCTTTGAGTTTGGCCCACTTGGCAACTTTGTCTCGAGTGAGAGCCACTCGTTTGCCTCGGACCCAGGATTCGATCAGATTGCCACTATGGCTCTGTTTGTATTCCACATTGGCATAAAACTCTCGAATCAGGTTAGGATAGTAATGCTTGGGCAAATTGAGGATGTCCTCCCAACCAAGTCGCTTGAAGGCCGTGGAGATCTTGTAATGGTCATCCACCTCCGGCGCCAAGTGCTTCTCAACTATTATTTCTTTGTCTAAACCGGCTTCGTACCACTGCTGATTCTCGATTGATGTGAAACGTGTGGTATCGTAGTCCGGAGGTGGCTCGTCACGACTGGTAGATGTCGTCTTATGCCTAGAACGAGGTGGGGACTGAGGAGAAGGAGATTCCTCTTCAGGCGACCCCTCTTGTAAAGAGGGTGTATGTTCCTCACCCGATGAAGGTGTAGGAGTGCGAATCACTGTCCTTCGTGTGCGAGCCATGATGCCTGGATTACAAATATTTACTCAACACAAATTAGAAGCAATACAAAACATAACAAACACAATTGTCATAATGAGTTAAGAAAATTTCGGCAGAGATTCCCCTTGAAAAAAGGCTAAAATTCCTGCCAGCAAAACCCAAAAACAAGCACATAACCATCTTAAATCATTTTACATACAGCTAAAATACCCGATGAAGGGGTGACGTTCTTTGATGATTTTCTACACATTTACATCAAAAGGACACCTTTAGGTCCCGTATGCACATTGAATGACTCCATGAGCTATTATAAACATTTTATCACTGAAACTCACTTGAACATTCATGAAAATGCACATTGTAGGAATGCTCCTCCATAAATATATATATATATATATATATGGATATATATGTTTATATATATACATCTACTATATTTTGAAAAAAATTTGACAGAATCTCCCCTTAAATGTGGACTAAACT